CTTGAACTACGGGTGGTTCATAGGGTCAAATAGAATTGCTTTTATTGGCCAATACCAATTAATGGCCAATATATTGGTGCATTCCTAATGGTTCGTGTGCCTCTTAAGGTTCATGTGTCCAGTATTTGCCTGCCTGTGTGTTGTTATCTTATCGGCAGGTCTGTTTACCTCACCAGTTGTTGATTCTCTTCCCCGAATGCTCTGCACCTCTTCCATGGAGTGTGTCTCGCTCTACTGGGGTATGCCCTACTTACGGCATGTGTGTGTGTGTGTTTTGAGAAGCTAATAAGGCAGTCTTAGAGCCTTTGCATGGAAGCAGGTCAGTTGGATCCCTCTCGGTTGGGAGGCTGTGATCTCCGCAGCTGTCTGATGGCTGTGTGGAGGCTCCGGCGGGCCCATCACAACACTGCTCAAATTAATGTACAGGAGCAGATTTGATTTATACCATCTGTGGTGTAAAGTGGGACTGGATGATGAACCTTGCTAGGTTGGCAACAACAGGTCAGAAGGTGCAGTCATTCAGACTAGCGCAGCGAGGCGACTTAAAATAAGACAATACGGGCTTTAAAATATGTCTTATATTAATTGTCTTTTTATCTCTTTTTTTAAGAACAAGGGTTCCCTCTGTTTTATAAAACCTGAATCGGTGTAGCCTAATATTTCACCCTAAAAATCATACTCTTATCATAATTGATACAAATTTCTAAGGCCTCTAAACGTTCAACATGAGCAACATTTTGCTGAAAAACATTTTGTAAACAATCTACTTACATGCCTTCTCTCTCTGATTGATAGTTTTGCATTTTTTAGCAAGTAAAAGGCCGTTTAGTAGAATTGTACAAATGTCCCCCTTCAGCTCGTGGTTCACGTGTCTTTCTGTTGTGAAATCTTTGCTGATTTTCATAAAGTAAACATAAGAATAAGACCCAATCCCATTTCTACCCCTTACCCCTACCCCTCTGTTTCGTGTGTTCACGTAAAGGGGTAGGGGTGTCTCGATTCTCTTTTTGTTGGAGTGGTAGGGGTAAGGGGACGGGCCAGATAACCCTTCAAACGAAGATTTTTCGGGACCACACTTCAAACGAAGGGGTATGAGAATTATCTCAGCATAAACCGGCTACAGCGGCAACAGCTGCCCAAGCAAACAAGAAGACCCATAAATGTAAGCATTTTTGGCATTAATAAAGATTTTAATGAAAAGTAATCATTTGTTTTATGTTGAATTTAATCGTGTGTTCATATTTACGGTCATGTTATTGAAAGAAATGTTAGCAAAAAAAATTAGCTAAAGTTTGCTTCCATGACTGCACGATAGACCTACAACATATTTTCATGTCTGATCAGAGCTAGAACCACCATAGGCATTGAGGGGGGCCAGTCCTCCCAATAATTAGAAATCGCTAAACTTTTTTCTCAAATAAGGCCAATTTTAGAGTTGCGTGTATGTGCGTCTGTGCATCTTCAAAAACAGCGTTGACAAGTTTCTTTGCTCCGGGATGTGTGACCAGCGCGATCTCTGATGTGTGTGGGTGTCAGTAAGCGACGCAATAAAGGGTTAGTTCACCCAAAAATGAAAATTTGCCTGTGTTTTACTCACCCCCGAGGCATCTTAGGTGTATATGACTTTCTTCTTTCAGACGAATCCAGTTAGAGTTATATTAAAAATTGTCCTGGCTATTCCAAGCTCTATCATTGCAGTAGGTGGGTGTTTCTGTTCAACAGTCCACATGTCGTCAAATAAAGTGTGCGCATCCATAATAAAACACGGCTCTGGGGCATGAATAAAGGCCTCCTGTAGCGAATCCATGTGTTTTTGTAAGAAAAATACCCATATTTCAAACATAATGAACACTTTTCTCTCACTTCTGGTATCTGTCATACGCGGAAGCCGTTCCGGCGGATGACACAGGATGTATGCGCAGCGCACGCGCCTCTGAGATATGATAGTCTCGCGAGTTTGTTTACAGGAGCAAAGGAAGCAAAGTTTCCTTACTCTAGCAAAGGAAAACCAGTCTCCTCTTGGCTCATATCGAAATCCTCCAACATTTTTCTTTGCAAATCCTCGGTTTGTACTTCTAATTCGTGACTGGTGTTTTGTTTTGATCTCTCTCAGCGTTCGTCACTAATCACGCAACGCCAACGTGCTGCGTCATCTGCCAGAACAACTCCCGCATACCACAGTTAGATGAAGTTAGATAGAAGTGCTTATTACGTTTGAAATATGGGTATTTTTCTTACAAAAAGGCATGGATTCGGTACAGAAGACCTTTATTCATCCCCCCCGGAGCCGTTTGAGGCTCACCCCTACCCCTTGACACTCTGTTTCAAGGGACAAGAGAAAGGGGTAGGTGAAGGGGTATAAAATAGAATTGGGATTGGGCATAACTTTTATATTGCTAATAATATTTCAAGACATATTTCAAGACATGCATACATTTGCTCAGTTTGAGCTTCTATATGAGCCATAAAACCCTGATGTATCAAATAAAATAAAATAAAAAAAATATATATACACAAATTTTGTTTGTTTCTTAAATATTTTATTTTTGTAGATATTTTGTATCAGGCTTCATGGGGTTAATTGTGATTTCTAGCCCTGGAAATGTCATGTAAATTAATAAAATTATAAAACTGGACATTTCAAAATGAATATACATTTTTGTAGTTACGCCAATCTCTAAAATATTTTACCAGGAAGTAAAATATTGTTAAAAATCCTTATTTAGTGAATCAATAACAACTGGAAAAGTAATGGGGCCTTTGATTATTTTTGAGGACAATGAGGGCTTTGGAGTCAAAGAGGCTGAGAATTATTGCACTTGCAGCTCCAAATGGATTTGCACAAATAACTAGATTTGAAGATGCAAGCTAGACGTAGGAGGTTTCTAATGTACTGCTAGGCTGTTGCTTGCTGTTGTGCAAGGTGTGTTCACACTGACTAATGTATTTTAAACAGATTTTAATGGAGCACAGTGGATGACATAAATGCTATCCTATATAACTACAGATATTATATAACTAATGTAATGTGCATCTTTAACTACACATTGTCATATGCACAACTAGTCAATCCTTAAAAACTAGTCTGTCCTTAAAAACATAAACCTTAAACACAACATAACACAGGATCAGTCGCACGATTAAAACTGATCTGACTTGTGATTCAGTGAGCGAGTAATTAATTCAGTAATCACTCCCACTAACTCATAAGTGTTTTTGATGTATTGGGGAAAAAAAGCCTGGGTCATTGCTAACTAGCAGTCATTTGCTCACTTTTTTGCTGCCTGCAATGCAATATTAATATTTCACATTCAATTCAAACAGCAAGCTCAAATGTAATTTCTCTGCAGTGGCACTGTAGATTCAGTGTTTAAGCATGTGTTTAAGAACTGACCTAAAAACATGAAAATAAAATAATAATAATTTAGTTTCTGAGGAAGGTTCTGAATACAGCAGGGATTTATGGTTTATCAAAATAAAACAAAAATTGTGATATGGCTTAGTGTAATTATCAAATTGCAAAGGCTGTGATTTAATTAAATATATGCGCTGTGTGTTTCAGAGTGAAGCGCGGCACTGTGTTCATTTACACATGAGCAGCTCATTTTTAAAATAGCACATCCAGTGTTTCAGCATCTCAAAGTGGTTCGGTTCACAGTAGATGCTGTTCCACATGAACTCCATCTTTGCATCTGCTTTGAGTTTGGGTCGCTTTAATATGCATTTGGCAACAAAAGTGCCAAACATTCTTGTGATGAGAAGTGCTTATGAACAAAGGAGAAGCTTTAAGGACTCCCTGCCGTTTCTGTCAAAACAAAAGTTCAGTGGTTTAACGTTTGAAAATGAAGTAATTAAGACAGACATAAATATTGGTATTGCGCTTTTACAGTTGCAGTGTAAAATTTAATTATTATTATACATTTTTTTAATACTTGATTTTTGTATTTTACAGGTAAATATTACAATAATAAGTATTTCAGTAATTATTTTAGATTCATTTAGTATTTTTTTATACTTTTATTTAATAATAATACAATTAGTGTTGTTTAAATAATAATAATAATGATTATTATTATTAATAATTGTATTCATATTTATTATTAATAGTAGTGGAAGTAGTAGTGGTAGTATTTTATAATCACAAAGTTTTGGTCAAATTGTGCATCCCTACAAACAACCACAGCAAACCTGGCATTTTTAAATCACATTTTAAATGGCAATCACAATTTTTATCTGAAAGACAGCAATTTGATTTCCCCTAAATCATGCACCCCTAAATTCCAGCATGTTTGTGTACTCATGTACTATAATTCACCCTGTTTTGTAGATATTTACTTGAGCCATTAAGTTATACACAACATTTTTATATAGTTGTGAGACACCCTTTTAAGTACCACCAATCAGCTAACGTGTAATATATTTCACTGGCTTTAGGTGGCGCTGTGTTATCACTCTCGCACAGATGCACACACGCACACACACACACACACACACACACACACAAATGCCCGCAAGGCTCAGAGTTAATCTGTCCGCTTGAGAAAGAGACCGTGCACACACACACACACACACACACACACAATGAATATTTGTGAACACACACATGCTCAATCGCCCACACGAGCTCAGGGAAAGGCGCCCACACACGCATGCATTTACTGCACACATGCTGAGACAGCCAACTTCTACATGCTGATGCATCATATCCAGAGAGGTTTATTTGACTGGGATATTGTTCCCGCTTTGTTCCTGGAGTTTGTCGGGGCAAAGAGGAAGATGATTATGCTGAAATCCAGACTTGGGCGCTTGGAGAAGGAGTTCCCGGGCCGTATGGTGTTTTCTCTCTCGCACAGAGGCACACACGCACACACACACACACACACACACACAAATGCCCGCAAGGCTCAGAGTTAATCTGTCCGCTTGAGAAAGAGACCGTGCACACACACACACACACACACTGAATGTATGAATATTTGTGAACACACACATGCTCAATCGCCCACACGAGCTCAGGGAAAGGCGCCCACACACGCATGCATTTACTGCACACATGCTGAGACAGCCAACTTCTACATGCTGATGCATCATATCCAGAGAGGTTTATTTGACTGGGATATTGTTCCCGCTTTGTTCCTGGAGTTTGTCGGGGCAAAGAGGAAGATGATTATGCTGAAATCCAGACTTGGGCGCTTGGAGAAGGAGTTCCCGGGCCGTATGATTGCTAAGCAATAACCGCCATGCAGCCAGTAATCAGCTAAGTACCATAATCCTCCTTGCAGGGTAAAGTCGTGTGTGACCTCCCAACTATATACAGCCTGTGATAACAGCATTAAACGGTAACACCGCTCTCCATTCCCAGAAGCCTTTGCACCTCATGCATTCAGGCCTTTCGGCACCCTTCGGCACCTCTCGGCCCACTTCGGCTTTCTAGAATTGGCTCTTTGCTCCGGTGTGGCCTGCGTCTGCGAGAGCATGCTGGGAGGGGTGGAGAACGCACTAAGCTAGCAGCTACTGTGCTACGGGACTAGTGCATGCGTTTCCTGTAGCCGTGACCTTGTTTCCCCCCTGGCCGGACCTCTTCTGTCCCTTCAGCAGCGTGTGGTGCATTTGCGTTTGATGCAGCCGCGCGGTCGACATGCTCGCGCCCGCAGCCCAGATGTGCAGCTCTTGAGTGACAGGTGCGTGCACACGCGACGCGCTCGGCCGTGGAGGATTGTTTTTTTTGCCGGTGCAGCATTCGTGTGACAGTCGAGTGCCTCTCGCTGAATGCTGCTTAGTTGACGGTTTTGTGACGGGTGTGCAGATGTTCCTAGAGGAGTAATTATAACACCTGAGTAATGCTTGCACAGAACTGGCTGTACAGTTGGGAAAGATTATCATGCATGAGGTTTAGGGCTGTTTACATCTCGTGATGCCATGCTGTGGGTATAGAATTAACACTTAGTCTGTTTGTTTTCTTCTTTTTGTCCCATTAAGATGCTGTTTTGAGCATCATTATAGGTTTGAGTCCCTTTTTATGCAATATATGCTTATTATTGTAATATACACTGCTTTTCAAAATTTGGGGTCAGTAAGACTGAAGAAATTAAAACTTTTATTTAGCAAGGATGGGATGTGTGATGTGATGATACCTAATGTGTGATGTGATGCTTTTAGTTGACTGACACTCCGTCCTATTTTTGTAACATTGCACAGTTGCTCCAGTGAGTTTATATTCCCCATTTTAAACAAATATCATCTGTGAATTTATCACTATGAATTTTAATTGTTATATATGTTTAAATAGCTTTATGGCTTTTACTTAATGAACGTAACTGTTGGCAGAAATATGTTGAATCAAATCACTTTGGATGCTAATAAAAGAAAGCAAACAGCCGCTGAATATTGTAATGATTTTGTCTTTGAGTTTTGTTTCTCCTGCTATGCTGTTTCTGTGTGTCGGGCTGCTCTGATTTGAGAAGCTCATAGGGCTTTGCACAGAGACGGCAGGCACAAATCAAGGAATAATATCGCTTCATTGTTTAACATATTGCAGCATGCATATGATGACACAATGGATGATGTCACATTTACATTTAGACATTCAGCAATCATTTACTGCTGGAATATGGTGCAGCTCAATATGGTTACTGCTGCTGACTCTGCACAATCATTTAATTGTGTATTGCCCACGTCAATAAAAAAAGATGTTCGCCCATGCAAAAGCCAGCACTATAATGCAAAGGTATTATGGGTGGTTGTTAGGGCATTTCTGCGTGGTTGCCAAGTTGTTATCAGCATTTTATAGTGAGATGCAGATTGGTTTTTAGATCAGTGTAGGTCTACAGGATATTTTTATCCACCAGTCTCCAAGTCAAATCATTTAGAAAAGTAAGGCCAGTGTTGTTTGGATCATTATTGAGATACAGTTTTATTAACATTTTGTCTTTTTTTTTTGTAGTAGTAGTTTTTCATTTTAATTTTAGTTAAAAATGTGCATTTAGTTTAAATTAATTTTTAAAAATATATATGTAGTTTTTAAGTTTTATTTCAGTTTAGTTTTAGTTTTTTTAGTACATCAAGTTAAACTAAAGTGAAATGAGATATCTTGCTTATTTTGTCTTTTATTTTGTAATTTTTCATTTTTATTTTAGTAAAAATGTAAAATGTATTTTAAATGAAAATAATTTTTAATGTCTATGTAGTTTTTATACATTTTTATTTCAGTTTTAGTTATTGTAGTGCATCAAGTTAAACTAAATTGAAATGTGAGATCTTGCATGTTTTGTCATTTTTTTTGTAATTTTTCATTTTTATTTTAGTAAAAATTTAAAATTTTGTTTATATTTAATTTAAATAATTTTTAATGTCTTAGTTTTTATACATTTTTTTTCAGTTTTAGTTTTCATTATTTTTGTGCCTCAAGTTAAACTAAATTGAAATGTGAGATCTTGCATGTTTTGTAATTTTTTTTGTAATTTTTCATTTTTATTTTAGTAAAAATTTAAAATTTTGTTTATATTTAATTTAAATAATTTTTAATGTCTTAGTTTTTATACATTTTTTTTTCAGTTTTAGTTTTCATTATTTTTGTGCCTCAAGTTAAAGTAAATTGAAATGAGAGATGTTGCTTATTTTGAGTCCTTTTTTTGTAATTTTTCATTTTAATTTTAGAAAAATGTATTAATTAAATAAAAATTATTTTTAATTTATATTTTTTATAAATATTTTTATATTTTTTATACCAGCCCTACGAGGAGCAATTATATTTTTAATTTCTGTGGTTTTTATACATTTTCATTTCAGTTTTAGTTATTTTAGTGCATCAAGTTTTTTTTTATGGTTTTAGTTTTAGCTAACCATAATAATCTTGCACCTCTTCTCAACAAGCCACATGATTTGTAGTATCATTCATGCCTATAAAACAAACGATGAGAGATCATTCACACTCAACTTTAATACTTAAGCTTATGGTTTTGTTCAAATCACAAACCGTAAGTATGAGCAATAGTAAAATAGCTGTTTACTTTAACAATCTCTTTCCAGCTGCGGGAGAGTAGCAGCATCTGCTGTAAGTGAGACTTCCTGGCGTGATATAACATAGTTAATGAGAGAGAAACAGAAAGGGAGGGAACTAAACGCATCTGGCTCTGTCTTGGCACTGCAGTGTTTCTCTAACTCCGTGTGACACACTTCCCCTCATGACTCTGGCCAGAGCCGAACACTCCGCCCTTACAGGTTAATAGCTATGAAAGCCATGGCTCAAAGGTCTGTTATGGCAGACAGGTCCCAGACCACCAAACCCCATCTAGCTGGCCACTATCGCAGAGCTTCACAGTCCCTGTGGGCTCCTCACGATGAAAGAGCTCCAGGGCATGAACAACAGTGATGCTTGTTGATGTATGCCTGTATTACAAGAGAGTCCTGAACCCAAGCGGGGATAGACTCATGGGCAGTGAACTTGAGGTGACTGGTGGCGTCGAACACTTTCGTCTGTGTCAGTCTGAGGTACTAGAAAGACAGTGGAAGGCATAAATTAGGCATGGATCAGGATGCCGTGCTCCTTCAGGTTTTTTTTAATGCCCAGAACCCCAAATATGATAATACTCTTGCGAAGGGGAATATAAGTAGAATATAAGGACAGCTTGATTTTTATGTTTCAAGACTCATTTATATGATGTGAGGGAAAAAACTGTGCCTTAAAACTGAACAACTGGCACTGGAATTGTATTAAAGCAAGAATTGTTTTTTTGTGACTCAAACTTGGTCTTGTGCTATATGTCAGCACTGACCACAAGGCTAACCCTGAGAAACATTTGAAGATTTTTTTTTTTTTTTAATTGTTAGGGTTAGGTGTACCCATGAGGATGGACATTTGTGCTGCACGTTTGGCAATTTTGTTGCAACTTGCTGATTCTTTAGCATCCTGCACCATGATCATCCTGAGACCAATGCATTTTGTTCCATTTCAGTATTTAACACTACATCCAGCTGTTTTTGAATACATGAATACATTCTATGTGTAAGTTATTATGCAGGGCTTCCTTAATCAGAATGTATGTTCAAACAACTCACCTCTAGGTAATTTCAAATGTATGCAGTTTTGTACAACCCTAGTGTGAATCACTTGAAGAGAAATGAAGGTGCCATACGCTCATTTGTGATTGAATAGAGTTTTAGCCTCACCTCACTGCATTGACCACTCACACTGACCTCATTTCCTTTTACATTCTTAGAAACAGAAGCCCATCAGCATCCAGGGACCCCAACGCGGCATATAACCAAAGGGAGGGGGAAGGAGGACTGCAGTATGCCCCGGCTGAAGGAGGCATGCCCCGCTCTCCGTCCGACTACGGTCGTGACCCTGGCCATTCGCCGAGGAGTTCAAGAATGTACAATGAGGTGGGCGGTTATCAAGACAGCCGAGTACGCTGGCACTCGCAAGGCCAGCGTTTGGACGGCCAGCTAGAGGACTATGAACTCCAAAGACGCCGTGAGGAGGAATACCAGGCCCGATACCGCAGTGACCCCAACCTGGCGCGCTACCCAGTCAAACCCCAGCCCTACGAGGAGCAGATGCGCATCCATGCCCAGGTGTCACGGGCTCGGCACGAGCGGCGTCATAGTGACGTCTCGCTCGCCTATACAGAACTTGACGAGCCTCTGCATGGGCCCGGTGGGCGGCACTCGCGCCTCCCTCTGTTGGGAGGCCCAAGTCAACGCTCGTACTCAATGGACAGGAGCTCACCGGGACATCGGATGTCGAATCATAGCCCACCAACACCACACCGCAGCCCCGTGCTGGGCGATAGCCGGCGAGGACTGGTGGAGCCAATGAGGAAACCCATACCCCAACAGCACCACTTGGACCCTAGCTCAGCCATGCGCAGGAACAGTCGGGACAAAACGGATAGCATGCTACGAAACGATTCTCTGAGCTCGGACCAATCCGAGTCGGTTCGGCCTCCTCCACCTCGACCGCACCGCAGCAAACGCCTTGGCAAGCTCAGAACCATGGGCAGCTTCAGCAGCTCAGAAGAGGAGCTGGCAACCACGCCAGAGTACACCAGCTGTGAGGATGTGGAGCTGGAGAGTGAGTCCTTCAGCGAAAAAGGTAAACGCTGCTGACTCTGAATGGAATTATAGAGCCTGTGAAATAGGTACTTCTTTTGAAAAAGTAACTACTTTGCGACTGTTAAAAAGTATGTTCTATATAGTATGAATTTGTGTAGCATGAATATAATATGGACACACTGTTGCACTCGGCATGTTGTCATTTTCATGTGACCTACTGGACCATCCTCATCTCCCGTGGCCTCATGGGATAGTAAAGTGTCCATCAGATACGCACTTCAGAATCTCGCCAGGAGTATTCGTTCACTGGAGGACTTTGTGTCTACTGAATTTGCACATACTATGCTCTTAACATAGGCCTACTGTTTTTCATGTAGTAGGGAAGTATGCTATTTTGGATGCAGCCTGTGTGCACCTTATAAACACCAGCCAGATGAATCTTGTGGTTTGACATCAGGGATATCCAGCCCTGCTCCTGGAGAGCTACCTTCCTGCAGACTTCACTTTCAACTCAACACATCTGACTGCAATTTCTCAGTAACCCTGAACACCTTGATTAGCTGGCTCAGGTGCATTTGATTGGGGTTGTGGCTGAACTCTGCAGGACGGTAGATCTCCAGGAGCAGATCCTAGACCTTAAATGATTTTGGTTACTCTTTACTGATTCTTCTTGGTTGTCCCACTTAAATAAGAGAGTCAGTTTTGGCAGAGCATAACTTGTTGATGGTGAGGTTAGAGTCATGATGCTGTGGGTTATGATGTCGTCTTACTGAGTCTACCTTAAATACAGATTTGGAGAGGCTCGTTTAATTAAGAGAGCATAGAGATAACATGATTTTGCATGTTTTTTTTTCAGTTGTGCTTGATGCCAACTACATTATATAATTGATTGTTGTTGAATATTAAACAGACTACTGCTTGTAACAGTAACCCCTTAGTTAATATTCTCAACACAGTCAGATGAGAAGTCAAAAGATGAGAAAATTAAGTATAAGACTTGCAAGGTTGATGCATTGACCTCAGATTCAGTAAAAGTGCCAGTTCTCTTGGTAATTCTTTTTGTTTTAGTTTCTGTGCTTTGGGGTTGTTGAGATCAGTTATAACATGTCAGTTATTCTGTGACCTTTCTCCTCTAAATTCAGTTTAAAACTGCACTTAAGATAAAGGAGAATCCACTGACGCTGGCAATTACATGGGGTGAGTCACATGACCAGGGTTTAAACCATGGAGGGTGTTTCATTATTCAAGCAGGTTTAATTATGTAATGCAAGCCGGGCTGAAGATGCTAGCGTGTGAATGGAGACACAGGACACAGTCATACATTGCCATTCACTGTTAAGTAGAATCCTGTTCTCCTGTTAGAATATGAATTTCTATAGCTTTTGCTGTTAGACATTTAAAGTGAGAATATTACTATGAGATCAGCTGACCTGATGCCCTGTAGGTCTGACAAAGAACTAATAGCAAGGCATGGTACATCTTGACATGTATAACAGCTAATATGATTCAGTAAGATAATTAAAATGTCTAACCAAATTGCTTTTCTCAGCCATGCCCATGTTTCTTCATTAGTCATACAGCCAGGCTTTTCAAACTGAATCTCCCCAGCACTGCACATTTTGGATGTATTCTTTATTTAACACACCTGAATTAACTGAGTAGTAAAGCACTCCATGGCCTGAACTGGATCTGTCAAAAAAAGAGAGATTCAAAATGGGCAGCACCTCGGGGAGCCTTTAGGAACAATTTTAAACCCCTGACGTTCAGCAGAATTCCAAATTATTTTCAACCTAATATCTGTGGCATGTTGTTTACTACATTAAATAATTGCAATTCATGTCTGAGCATGTGCATTTTAAATAAAGAGTCTTACACATGGGAAAGCTCAGTTGGAGCGTTTAACACATAAAGATGCATAAAGGGGGTGTCATCGATGCTTTGTTAATTCTTGAAGTGAACTTTTGACTGTAATGGTAAGGTTCACCAAGAGGTAAGGTTCAGTACAGTACAGTACGGTACGCAATAGGGGTGTAACGGTACACAAACATGACAGTTCAGTACGTACCTCAGTTTTGATGTCACGGTTCGGTGTGGTTTCGTTACAGCAGGAGGAAAAAATACTAAACATAAATTGTTTTTTTTTATTAAACAATGTTTTACTGAACAAATTGCTCTTTCTTTAAATAAATCAATTATAATTACAATTTTCTTTAAATCTACCTCATGAAATAGGCCTAATAAAGAAAATCTATACAAAACAACCTCAGATTCTGCTCTAAACTATAGGGAGCCATTTTACATTACTATACGTTTACAATTGACAACAGAGCCCAAACTTAAATTTAATTACTATTTATTTTTAACTATAATAATCAACACTCAAAAAAAATTTATGCAAACATGTAAATTGCACTCAGTGCAGTTTTTAAATTAATTTCTATATTATACAATTGTATGGCCTCATCAAAGAGTGCCAAAACGGCATTTATTGTCTGAATTTCCTGAAAAAATTGAATGATTTTTTCGGTACATGTGCGTACTGAACTGAAAGGTATGCAGTTGTACCGAATGCGTGTACCGTTACAACCCTAGTATGCAATTATGTCTGTTTCCATTGTCAGAAGTTGTGAATGGTACCAAAAAATGGTACTGTACCACTTTTGTTGGTACCCTTCCGTTGGGGTTGTACGTCGATACCTAAAGGGTGGAGCTAGACTCACTGCAGAACGTTGATTGGTTGACGTAGATCACTACTTTTTTGGCATAAACTATGCCTATCAAGTAAGGATACTGTTGGCGGTGGAAATGCAAGCTGGATCAGAGTGTACTTTCCTGAATTGTACTGTACTCTACTGTACTGACCTGTACTGTTTGGTGGAAATTAGCCATAATATACCCCTAAAAATTGAGCATTGGTAACTTAGAGTAATACTGTGTACTCTTAAGGTACTACTATGAACGTTTTTAGGAGTAAAATATATTAATTTAAGGGTGCTATCCCAGTGACAACTGTTGTACCCCTAAAGGTATGACTTCTGAACAGTTTTTGATAGGGATGCACCGATATGAACATTTTGGCCGATACCGATAACAGAAAAAATTTGCATTTATCGGCCGATACCGATATGGTGGTCGATATATCGTGCATCCCTAGTTTTTGAGAGTGTATCCACAACATGGTGTGGCACTTCTCTTCTGGTGTAAAAATGACTTAAGAGCAAGGTCAGTTTGAAATGAGTGAGAATACAGCATATTGGATGTCTGAAAACACAACTGGACTCATTGAACAAACTCAAACTCCCATTGATCAGTGGTTGCTTATGTTAGAGTGTACCAGCAAAAGTTAAAATGTTCTCTTCTTTTGGTGTCATGGTGCTTATTATCATTAGGATTCAAGGAATGTATATGGAATGCTACTATCTTTGCTATCTGTGAAGTACCTGTCCTTCCTCTTCCTCCTTTTTCTTCTACCATGTAAGATATTCCCCTCCCCTAAAAGCTCTGATGTTGTCAGGGTCACAATTAGCTCAATTGGGTAAGCCTCTTTGCACAGGAGCAGTCTCGAGAGAGAGCTCCCCAGAGCCTTGCTTCATCTGCAGAAGTAGGGAGAGGGAGTCCCAGCAGCTTTGCAGAGGTAGAGGGTCACTTCCATGTCAGAGTCAGGAAGTGAAATTGCACCAGTGCATCTGTCATGGTTACCTCTTCACCACAGCTACTTAATGCACTCAAGAGGCTACAGTGGAGCAGAAGAAAGTAGGACACGTAGTGACTCAAAGAGTTACTTGCTTCCACCTTCATCCTGCTCATACTCAGTCTCTCTGTTTCAGTCAGCTTTCTAAAGGCTCACACCACCCCAACAAACACCGACAAATCTCCAAATCCCAATGCTTGATCAGTGGGGTAACCATGTTGGTATTTGTTCAGACAATGAATGTTTCCCAAAATTTCCAATCCAGCATCCAACATTAAACTCTAGAGTTTCCACAAATCTAGCAGGCATCTAGTCACTCCATCTGACCTCATAAGAGTGGCACACCTCTTGACTGTAGACAGGAAGGAGCTTGATCTCTGACAAGCTTATCCTTCCATTGGGTGCCATTGGACATACGTCAATCAGTCAGTGACAACCCAACCTGATTGGTTCAAAGTACTCAATTCCCTCCCCACCTGCAAAAAGAGAAAAGGATTTGGTCAAAGTAGCAAACTAGTGGAGGAACACACAGAGACTGCACGCTGTGTGAAGCCTGGGAAAATGGTGGTAAGTCAATATATCATCAAACTGCCAACATTTGGAATGGTGACTGTTCTGCTGCTGTGTGCGTTGGAGTAAGGACTTTTAACTTAATTGTTTGCTCTGAACTTTCACTTTCGTGTAAAAACCACCAACCGGAAGGTTGGAAAATCTAAAAGAAAGGAATAGTTCTATTGGTTGGGTGCAAGCGATTGAGGCCAATGCTTGCTTCCATGGAGCCATGAGCAAACTGTAGGGGTTCTTGGAGTCAGGGATCAGCCCGGCAAACTCCGGGAAACAGTCTGTTGTGATGCGGGGACTATGTAGGGCAGGGTGTTTGAGCTGGCTTACAAGAATAACGGTAAGCTCATTATTCTAAGGCATGAACTCCATTTCAGTGCAAGGAGATAGAGAGAGGGAAAGAGAATGACATCGTTGAGAGGCAATCAAAAAAGGCAAACATTTGGGTTTGACATCTTTCTTGAAGGGGATGTGCAAGACCTTTAAAGACTGACCCAAGTGTGATTTGAAGAGCTGCAGTTGAGTTCTAGTCCTTGTTCCGGTGGACGTAGTTGAGTAAATCAGCTTTGCAGAACTTTAACTTGCCAAGGTTTGGAAGGGCTGGTGCAGCAAAGACGGATTATCAACAATATATTGGGACTACACAGTACAAATTATTTTTTTCCTGAAGACGCTGGGAACGGTGTGCACATGGTGCTTGGACAAATGGCAAACGCTTCTGGTTTGTGAGGCATGGTGTATGTTAAGGCAGAAGTAATGTCTACAGAAGTAAGCTTTTACAACGTTCATTCTTTTCATGGTAGCATACAGATATCACCGCATGCTGGCAGGGAAATTGGGGACAGGATGATGCAATGTTGGTAGCAGTAATCAGACTTCTGCAATATTAAAGTTTCCGTGCTATACACTAGGATACAAATTCTTTTATCCATTTATTATAGTGCCGTTGTGATATTGCACTGAATCTGGCTGTTAAAATTATGGATGCATAATAACCATATTTTTCATCTTTAAACTACAGCTTGGTTTCTTAATCAAATGTACTGTATTGATGACACAGACACATGTAAATAACTATTATTTTGCACATATGAAGTGAGTCCTATGATGATGTTTTACTTAAATCCAGTCCAGTTTATTTAGCACATTTCAAGTGAATCTTTTGATGATGGTTTCCTTAAATTCAGTCCAGTTTATATTTAAAGGACCTTGAAACTGGACCTTGTTCTTTGTTTTAAACTGCTAAGAAAGTATCAGTACAATATTGATGCATTGCAAATCCATCTGCTTGCCAACCCATGTAAATAATTGCAAGACAAGAGAAGTTTGTGTTTTTAAAGGTTTTGTGCCTTAAATTATTCCTTGATACTATAACTAACCTGACATTCCAGGAATTCAGTGAGAATATCTGTGTGTTCATAACAGAAAATATGCACAATATACTGTATATGTATGTGTTAAATATCAAAATCAGCAAAATGGGATGCATTTTATGGTGTTATGTACATTATGCAACAGCATGGAGCTGTATCAAACAGGGAAAAAAAAGTCTTTTATATGTCATTTAAGCACTAGATTTTAATGTCTGTGTGTCTCCAACCAGATAAAGATTTCCTAACAGAAAGGTTCTCTGTCAACAGAAATAGTGCTGTTTAGATGTATGGCACTCAGGTAATTTGCTTTCTCAGAAAATGTACTTTCAGATGTTGAGCTAAGAAGACAATATTTATGACTTTTTTCTTTTCTTTTTGTCAAATTGCTGGATAAACAGGGTTTGTCTTGTAGTTTTGGTCGTGTTGTAGTTCATGCTCTTTTTTGTACACCTTTAAAATATCTGTATTGGTTCTTTCTTTCCATTTGTTTTATAGGTAAGTGTATACAAAGAAAAGTGATATCAATTGTTACATGTGTTAATTTAAAGTGATAACTAACCCAAAAATGACAAATCTGTCATCATTTAGTCACCCTCATTAGTCACCAACCTGTATGACTTTCTTTCTTCTGTGGAAAACAAACAAGATTTTCTTTTAAAGAATGCACTAGTTCTTTTTTTTCATGTAATTGAAATGAATGGAGACTGAAGGTTTCACAAAAGCACCATAACAGTATCACACAAGTAGTTCTTACTAAATGAATGGTGATTTAATTTTGCGAACCAGATCGACTGATTTTTTTCAAAAGATCTGACTCAGAAGAACGATCCGTTCTTGAATCGGGCATTGCTGTTACTATCGTGAACATCATTTTTGCAAAGTTGCAGTCCCCATTCATTGTAATTGCATGGAACAAAATGGCTAGTACATTCTTTAAAATATATGTTTTGTGTTTCACGGAAGAAAGAAAGTTGTACGCTTGCCGAACGACATGAGGGTGAGTAAATAATGGCAGCAGTTTCATTTTTGTAGAACTACACCTTTAAACGAGCTGTAAGAGAAAGTGTGTGAGTAAATGAATGTTGCGTATTTGCCTATATAAGTTAAATATTGTTGACACGAGTGCGTGCGTTTGTGTCCTCTCACTGTGCTGTCCTCAGGAGATATGGATGGTCACTGGTGGGACCATACATCTTGGCATAGCGAGGCCTCCTCAATGTCTATGGTGAGGCTTGTGACCCTCTCACCCCATTTCCCCTCGATTAATTCGCCTCTGCATGTTTTGTTTCTCCTCCTTTTTTTATATCATCCATAACTTTTAGGCAACATTCAAAGGGGAAAAAGAAAAACAAATGAGCAGACATATTTTTTGGACGCCAGTTATGCCCCGTCTGAGAGGCAAAAGACAGAGGTGCGATTTTGGGAGCGCTCCCACGATGAAGATGCGGAGTGGTGCGAGCCGCAGGTCAAAGATTCAGGGGTTGACACGTGCAGTAGCACCACGCTAAACGAGGAGCATAGCCATAGCGACAAGGTACTGAGACGACTTCCTGCCGCCTGCCTCTCGCTTCCTGTGACTGACCTGCTCGACTGTCTGTTTCTGCCTCTAGAGGGTTTCCTACTCTAATCGTGCCTCTCAGATGAGAGGAGAACCCTCTGGTTTGCTTTGCTCCACTGTCTTCTGGCTGCAAAGTCGTAGCGCATCCTAACACAGAAAGATGAATGACAAACTTCCTGGCACTGTTTGCTCCATATGCTGCATGCTTCTCGATGCGGACAGACGCTCCATTCTGATTGCAAACCTGTTTTCCTCACTTGGTCACGTCACCTTTTCACGCTGTTCCCCCCTTTGGGATTTCCTGACATGATTTTTTCCACACAATCCTTCAGTCTCAGCTTAAACACAGGGATAGACTAGTGTGGGAATCAATCTTGCACTAAGCAGTTGTTTTTCTTTTCCCCTTTTCACGGTCTCATTCTTCATGCTGTGCTTTTCTGTCCCATTTTTGGTTTTTGTTCGTTCACCGCATCTTTCGCGATAGCGAATAGAAGTAGCTTGCTACATCCATACTGCTTGAGGGTGTGAGAGCAATTTACTTTGCTTTTCTGCTTAAACAGTGGATTGATCTAGATCAGTGCTTCTCAACTGGTTTTGTCGTTTAATGTTAAATATCGATATTTGTGAATTGGTTTAACCATTGGTTTAGGGAATATTTCTCTCTATTAACTGTGACTTTTGCCTCAATAAACTCCTAATTTGATGTCTATTAATAGTTAGTAAGGTAGTTGTTAAGTTTAGGTATTGGGGTGGATTAAAGGATCTAAAATATGCTCATGCAGAATAACATGTGCTTTATAAGTACTAATAAACAGCCAGTATGCTAGTAATATGCGTGCTAATAAGCAACTAGTTAATAGTGAGAATTGGTCCTTAAAATAAAGTGTTACCATTAATACTTGTGAATTGGCTAACCATATGTGATGCGATAAAGCAACAAGCATAGCTTTTGAGATTTTGTCCTGACTAACGAGTACTGGAACATTTTGTTAATTGTTTGCGTAGTCCCGTTTGGTCCAAATGGGAACTGTTGTGTTGCCAACTTGCCCATGTTGGAATCTGTCTAATGTAACTAAAGTATTTAAAGTATTTGAAGAATCAAGTGAGTGAAGATTTATGTTAAAACAGAGGAATTTGTAAAAAAAAAAAAAAAAAAACCCGTAAGGTTGGATTGGATGGACAGACTTTGACATCAATTACAAAATATGTGAAGTTCTCTTTAGTTTGAACTATTCTATTTATATTTTAAATTTTATGCCCGCGTCCCAAAGTATTATAAACCATGACCACTATAAGTTACACTTTCCGCAAAGAAAAACTGGCTTGTGGATGTCATTGATACAGCCACTGAAATGATCTTTTCAAGTATATGATATATTTATTTTGTGTTTTATTTTTAAAATGTTTATAGGATTAAACTGTCAAATCTCGTCATGTATGACATAACTGCTATAAGTGAAATATTCCGTTTTGCAGTTAAATGCAGTAACTGTAGAGTTTCGTAATCAAAATACTTTAAAAAGTGTGGAAAACATGCATGATGACAAAATTCAGCTGGCTCTTTCCTTGTGGGGGGCATAACTTAAAGTAGACGTAACTTGTAGTGGCTATGGTTTCTAGTTATGTGGAATGCAGTCAGATACACTTTTTTGCATTCAGCATTGTTTATTATAAAATCGCTCTGGTCCTTTATGATTGGCTAGGCAACGTTTGAAGCCATAGTAAAATACTGCATCAGTATTACTGTACAACTCAATACAACTCCACTCCGTTCTGTAAAAACGTCCCACAGCTGTTCTAAAATCACTGTAAGCCACTGCTTCTTGGAGGTTTTTGCCTTAATCGACTAATACGTGCCCTATCCGTAAAGGATTGTGATTCACCTGTTGAGAACTGCTGATCTAGTTTACTGCTTTGAGTTGTTGTCCAGAATTGTGTGCTTGATACCTCTCAGCCTGTCCTGACTGTTGTGTCTGTACTTAATAAATGCACAAACCGAACCCTATAGGGTGGGAAATTCTTTTGAAGACAGTTACTTTCATGCTGTTCGCAAATGCCAAGATCCTGCCATCATTTCCTCACCCTCATGTCGTTCCAGACCTGTAGGACTGTAGGAAATAGTATTGCATTTTAGGGTTAATAGAAATGTCCGTAAAGTTAACGAACATACAGGTAATTTTCTGCCTGGACATTATCCATTTTCTTAGACATTTTTTTCTCTTACATTGCAGACCAGATCTTAAATCACATACAATTCATATGGTGCAAAGTTTAACACCATAGTGCCATGGGGGGAAAAAAATGTACAAATTTGGCACAATGTGTTTTGATGCACCATATGAATTAGATTTGAGAACTGCAGTAGATGGGAACATTTTCAGGCTTTTCCTTATATTGGTTTATGACATGAGAGTGCAAAATGATGAAAGGATTTTAATTTTGCTTTAATTATTCCTTTTAAATAGTGTAAATGTTATGGTATTTATTGCTAATAAAAAAAAAATACCCTATTTGACCCCAAAAACAAGACCCTATTTGCTTACTTAATACGTGTTCCTGGTCTTATTGGCAAGATTCATGTGTGCATGTTATTGTCTTCATAATTTTTCATCAAAATGAAATGACTTACTCCGCCTACAACAATGTTTGTTTTCAGCTGACGTTACAAATCTCTCTTACTCTCTTTTACAGATCTTCTCGGTAACACTTTAGATTCGCTATTATGCTTTTTTCCCTCTCAATAAACTACTTATTTGCTGCTTATTAATAGTTAGTAAGGCAGTTGTTGTAGTAGTTATGTTATGCATTGTGCTTTATAGGTGTTAATAAATTGGCAGTGTGCTAGTAATATCCATGCTCACAAGCAACTAATTAATAGTGAGTAGTGTTCTCCAATCTAAAGTGTTACCATCTTCTCTTACCAACCTTGTAACTCCATTCTGGCCTGTAACACCAACTTGTCATGACTCTATCACTTCCCAATGGATAAAATCAAACCCTATCCTACATTTTGTTTTCATTAAACATACTGTTTCACTCAAATATATGATTACAAAGTAAAATGGGTTGTGAATGTATTTCATGTTGACTTGACACCTTGGTTCGGTTTGTGTCTTCACAGCAAACAAGAGTTGACCTCCTCCTTTAATTTCCAGAGCCTGTGCATGTGTGCGTATATTTGTAACGTGCTGTGTGTGGATGCTTGTATAAAAACCAGAGGTGTATTTTCACTTTGACCCTCGTAGCACCCGGTGACATGGCAACCATCCAAAGATGGAGAGCGCCTAATAGGGAGGATAGTGCTAAACAAGCGGATGAAAGATGGCACGGTGCCCAGAGACACGGGGACACTGCTGGGCCTCAAGGTAAGCATGCCTGCCCCAAACACTGTCAAAGATCGCTCGATCAAAGCCATGCTAATGACCCGAGATCATAAGAGATCTTCAGCAAACACTCGGTCAGCTTCATACACAATGCACAGTTTACTAACCACAGTTTTCTCTTAATGATTTGAACTTTGACCTTATTGTGGACTCAATTAGTTGGCTTGAGTTCTTGTATTATAAATAGGGGTGTAACGATATTCAAACCGAACCGAAAAACCGCCATACACACCACCCATGATACATAACCGCGATACCCCTGCTGAGACACTTAAAAAAACGTATACAGCCATGATGGGTTTGAATCGCTTGAATCACTTTGAAAAGGAAGGTACCACTAAGGGCAACATGTGCAGAACAAATCTGTCATATAGGCTACACAAAATGTATTATAATGGAGAACACAACTGTAACAAATATGCCATGTTTCAACGCGTTATGGAAAGAATGCGTCCACAGAGATGTATCCTCATGAGTAGCACAGTCAAGTTTTATTGTGCAGCCAATTACAGCCTTAATATTAATAACTATGACTGGGACTGTCGTGTATTTAACATTATAATAAGAACACTGTTATAATAAAATGCTGTGAATTTTTTTAGTTTAGTTGCTGCACGTTGTGGCGTGAAGAACGTGTCCACAAAAGGAGTTCATTCAGAGCCGCGCAGACTAGTGGTCGACCGATATGGGTTTTCTGACAGCCGATACCGATGCCGATATCTTGGAAAGCAGGGTGGCCGATATATTTGAAAATGGATTAAAAATAAACATGTAAAATAAACATACTTATACGGTAGGAGGCAAAGTATTTTTCACAAATAAATAAATATTTAATAAAAATATAATTAAAAAGGAAGTAAATACTGTAACCAACAGGGCACTCAGTTATTCTGGGAAGTTTGAGTGCATTGGGAATCATATTTTTTCAAATAAAGCCAAGGTAACACTCATTTTACATTTTACAGCACACAGTGAAAATGACATGAATATGACAGTGGGCAAATGCATAAAGCGCAGCATAATTTGAAATCAGTCACAAGTTTAAAGTTTGTCGATCGCACGTCTCCAGTGAAGCTGAACTCTCCTCCTGTCAGCATTAAATTCACACGGACTATAGGACCGACTGTCACAGAACACGTGATCATGCAGGTCACATGCACACTTTACAAGATCTCAGCTAGATTCGACTAAGTCTGCAAGGTTTGTGAAATTAAATGCTCATTAGTCATTCAAAGATTTCTTTAAATTATATAAATGCGTATTTGCGGAATGCTGATGGCAAACGAGAAAGTATATAATGTTTGCCTTTAATAATATTAAAGCAATCATTATAATACTTTTTTGTATACATTTTAATTCCTTTGTTTAACAGTTTTGTTAAATTCTAATCTGATTATTAGATAGACTTCTATCCGTATTAGACATAACTGAATGACAACAGCGAACAAGAGGGAGAATGTGAGCTGTGTGCGCTCAGGTGCTGCCGCAGCCGTTCTCGGCATGTCAAAATAAACGTCCGACGCGCCGTCAAAATAAAAGTCCCGCCTCGAACACATCGGCCAAACAGAAAAAGTTATCGGCCGATGCCGATATTTGAAAAATGGCCGATATATCGGTCGACCACTAGCGCAGACACGTTCATGCGCATTCGGGGCATTTTGTGCAGATAGCCTATAAGTTGTAATATTAATGTTATTTAGTATAAATAACGAAGTGTATTCTATATGAGATAAATCTGATGAGTTAAATCCCATTGATTAAAAACCCGCTATCAAAATGCTTCATCCTACATGATTTTCAGAGTGCGCAGCTCAAAACAGAAAACCAGAACATTAATAACTACTGTCATATAAATAACATTATAATGAGAGCACTATTGTAAAAATGTTGTGAATTCTTAGGGTTTAGCTGACGTTTTTAGCGTGCTGTTACAAAAAACGCATCCACAGAAGAAGCTACACATTTTGTAATTTGCAGGCATTGTGCGTAATTCTACACATTCCCGCAGAGTTATTACATATTTGATTAAAATAATTATATATTTGAAAATGGATTAAAAATAAACATGTAAAATAAACATACTTATACGGTAGGAGGCAAAGTATTTTTCACAAATAAATAAATATTTAATAAAAATATAATTAAAAAGGAAGTAAATACTGTAACCAACAGGGCACTCAGTTATTCTGGGAAGTTTGAGTGCATTGGGAATCATATTTTTTCAAATAAAGCCAAGGTAACACTCATTTTACATTTTACAGCACACAGTGAAAATGACATGAATATGACAGTGGGCAAATGCATAAAGCGCAGCATAATTTGAAATCAGTCACAAGTTTAAAGTTTGTCGATCGCACGTCTCCAGTGAAGCTGAACTCTCCTCCTGTCAGCATTAAATTCACACGGACTATAGGACCGACTGTCACAGAACACGTGATCATGCAGGTCACATGCACACTTTACAAGATCTCAGCTAGATTCGACTAAGTCTGCAAGGTTTGTGAAATTAAATGCTCATTAGTCATTCAAAGATTTCTTTAAATTATATAAATGCGTATTTGCGGAATGCTGATGGCAAACGAGAAAGTATATAATGTTTGCCTTTAATAATATTAAAGCAATCATTATAATACTTTTTTGTATACATTTTAATTCCTTTGTTTAACAGTTTTGTTAAATTCTAATCTGATTATTAGATAGACTTCTATCCGTATTAGACATAACTGAATGACAACAGCGAACAAGAGGGAGAATGTGAGCTGTGTGCGCTCAGGTGCTGCCGCAGCCGTTCTCGGCATGTCAAAATAAACGTCCGACGCGCCGTCAAAATAAAAGTCCCGCCTCGAACACATCGGCCAAACAGAAAAAGTTATCGGCCGATGCCGATATTTGAAAAATGGCCGATATATCGGTCGACCACTAGCGCAGACACGTTCATGCGCATTCGGGGCATTTTGTGCAGATAGCCTATAAGTTGTAATATTAATGTTATTTAGTATAAATAACGAAGTGTATTCTATATGAGATAAATCTGATGAGTTAAATCCCATTGATTAAAAACCCGCTATCAAAATGCTTCATCCTACATGATTTTCAGAGTGCGCAGCTCAAAACAGAAAACCAGAACATTAATAACTACTGTCATATAAATAACATTATAATGAGAGCACTATTGTAAAAATGTTGTGAATTCTTAGGGTTTAGCTGACGTTTTTAGCGTGCTGTTACAAAAAACGCATCCACAGAAGAAGCTACACATTTTGTAATTTGCAGGCATTGTGCGTAATTCTACACATTCCCGCAGAGTTATTACATATTTGATTAAAATAATTTCCTTATTGTCCGGTTATTCTATTTTATTTATCCATTGCACATGCATTTTTTTATATCTAGCCTAATAACGATGTCCAATTACTTTTGTGCATTTTTAGGCATTTCATTTTATTTACATTTTTTAAGGCAATAGATTTTTTGGTAACACTTTACAAAGCAACAATTTTTAGTCTCATTTGTTAATGAATTATTTAACTCGAACTAACAGAGCATTATTATTATTATTATGAGTAATAAGTTAAAAGTTAAGTGTTCTTTATCATTGCTCGCGCCATGCCATGAACCCTACGCCCACAGCAAACATAACCGAACCGATCCGAACCGTGGCATTGGTGTATCGTTACACCCCTAATTATAAATTGGTTACCGATGGTCCTTTTCACTTACAGTAAAGCAGTGACCATTCCAAAAAAGGGTAAATTAAGGTACTATTTGTGGTGGTGTGCTTTAGTTCCTGTAAGTTTGCCCACTCACTGTCTTCAAGCCATTATCTGACTACATTTCTGTGAATAGAGAGCAATATTTCCCGGGCAAACTGTGTTTGGCATTAATTTTGTGGGTGCGTTTGCCGAGTTGCTTGATTTGCATAATTCCTTTAGTGAGTGGGGTATTAAAACAATACAGAAAAGCATGCAAAAACTGTAAATGATGCTATCGGCAATTCCAGTTCAATCTTAGTGAACTTTCCCCATAGTATTCTCACACATGGTATTGATGTGGATCATCATTTCTTCATAGTACAGCTCAAACTTTCAGCCTTTAGATTCCACATAAATAATTACCTTTCAGGCTTGAACAATTCATAATTGCATGTAAAAGATATTTAAAATATTTAGCATTGCCTGTTGTCTGTATTGCAGGTGGTGGGAGGGAAGATGACAGAGTCTGGCAGACTTTGTGCTTTCATTACAAAGGTGAAGAGAGGAAGTCTAGCAGACACTGTCGGCCATCTCCGACCAGGTGAACACATCTATTCAGATTTAACAATTAAGTACATTTTGTTTAACTCGCTTTAGACTGTGGAAGGCATAAAAGCATTTCCTCTGAAACCTCGTGAAGTCAGAGCTGCTGCTTCTATAGTCCTACTGAATTATGGGATTCTGTATATGAGTAAAGAATTTACGATAAAGGTTTTTAGGTCCTGCTTTATATTAGGTGTCTTTAAATACAATGTACTTATTAATAAAGTAATGAATTGTTAGGTACAATTAGGGCTGTGCAAAAAAATCGAATGCAATTTTCATTTACTACACAGAGCCGTAGTTCACTGACAAGCTACACAAAATTGCATTCAAAATCGGCTATGAATCACCTGCGATTTTGAACGTGATATTGTGTAGCTTGTCAGTGATCTACGGCTCTGTGTAGTAAATGCCGCTCCATCTGAAAGCACGTGATGGAGATTTACTACTAATCACCAGAAGCGACTTTACTGACGAGATTCGCATGAAAATCGCATTAGATTTTTTGCCTAGCCCTAGGTACAATGTACCTATTGTGTTCATGTTGAATTACAAAGCACCTCTGCTGCTATTGATGGGTATACGGGTAAAGTTGGGGGCAGGTTTGGTGATCTGGTTAGGTGTAATGGGTAGAGGTTGGGTCAGCAGTGTAATTATAGATGTAACTACAGAAATTAATTACAAATGTAATTGACAGTTCGCAAAAACCCACCCTCCGTTCTCACGCAGTAAAAAATACATCGCAAAGCAAATAAGAAACTGACAACACACCGACAGACAAGACCGAGCAGGTTACTTCTGGTATGAAACAAGGTCTCAGCTTTCAGATTTGGTCATTTTTAAGAAATTCTAACAATAAATACCATTTTGTGGCTCTTTAATGTGTCGTAACAGATCACTGTTTTGCCTCAGTTCAAGCAGCAAGTGAACCAATCGTCTTTTCATATTTACTGAATGAAAGCATGAAATGAACACGAATGAACATCAGAACATATTTTTATTATTATTTTATTTTATTAGACAATAAGTGCATTGTATCAAAAGATTAATTTAAATGTAAGTACATAATAGTTGAGGACGCTTAATATAAACAGGGTCCTTTCTATGTTTTTTTAACTTAAAGGGTAAGTTCACACAAAAATTTAAATTCTGTCACCCTCATACTGTATAGAGTATTTTTACAGTGTCTTTATATATTTTTTGAAGATTGAAAGATTTGGTGGAGTGGACTTTCAATGGAAGGACAAAAATTACTTTTCATTAAATATATCATAATTTGTGTTTCAGTCAAACTACTTGATTCATACTGATTATCTTTACGATGTCTTTACGTACTCTTTGAAGACTGATGGTTTGGGTGGAATCGACTTTCAGTGGAGAGACAGAAATAAGAAAGATTTCACTCAAAATATCTTCATTTGTTTTGATTAAACTGCTCGATTCATACACTATAATAAATTACATGATCAGTAAGTCATGGCAATGTACGTTTTTACAATAACTTGGACAACAAGTTGAGCAGTTTCAACTTATTTATAGCTTATATGAAATTCAACATTTTCAATTCATTTTTTTAAGTCGATTTGATTAAATTTAGGTTAAAGTGACTTGTACAACTAAGTTGATTACTAAGCAGTTAAGCTCAAGTTTCTAAGTTCAAACTTTTTGAAGAGTCAAATTTTGGTTGCATGAACTTTCAGTGGAGGGAAAGAAATCTCTCAGGTTTCATTAAAAATGTCATCGTTTGTGTTTCGAAGCGGAATGAAAGTCTTATGGGTTTGGAATAGTGCTGTCAAACGATTAATCATGATTAATCCAAAATAAAAGTTTTTGTTTACATAATATATGTGTGTGTACTGTGCATATTTATTATGTATATATGAATACGCACACATACAGTATATATTTTGGAAATATTTATATGCATATACATTTATATATTTATATTCTTATATTTTATATTATATGTAAATATATTTAATATATAAACATAATATATTTTTCTTAAATATATACATGCATGTGTTTGTATTTATAGATACATAATAAATATACACAGTACACACACATATATTATGTAAACAAAAACTTTTATTTTGGATGCGATTAATCGCGATTAATTGTTTGATAGCACTAGTTTGGAACAACATGAGAGTGAGTTAATGATGACAGAATTTACATTTTTGGCCGAACTATCCCTTTAACTTCCGTTGGTTAGCTCATATTCTGTGTTGTATTGATGCGGTGTTGTGTCGGTCCTCAGGTGATCAGGTCCTGGAGTGGAACGGGAGGGTCTTACAGGGAGCCACATTCAAGGAAGTTTACAATATCATTCTAGAATCCAAGCCAGAGCCACAGGTGGAGCTGGTGGTCTCGCGGCCCATCGGGTGAGTGATCATTACAATACTCTACAATAGAGCTTTATGAAGAAGGATAGCCTGTGGGAGCCCAACATATGAATGCTTATATTCACATACACACTCACACATAGAAACATATTCACTGCTTGAAATGAAAGGCCTGCTTCAGGTCTGTGCTTTATTTTTTTGTTACTTTCAATGCTAGGCATTTTTCCCCTTAAACCATTTAGAGTCCTACAGTAAGATGGTTAACCTGGAAAAACCGGGCAATATATCAGTCATGCATGTGCTGTCATTTTGACAGCAATATACAGTAAAATGACCTAGCATCGTGAATATTTTAAAATCCCCATGAAATCAAAATTAAAGTTTTTTGGGTGTTAGTATCAATATGTTAGCCTTAAGGTTATCTATAAGGCAGTGTGCTCCAAAACAGTGACAACATTTGCATTTAGAAGATATAAGCATTCAAAGCTTGCAGTTCATCACTTCCGCCAAAACGGCTCAATGATTTTTTTGACGTCCCATCTTACTTCAGCTGCTCATCAAACTTTCTGTCCAATCAAATGCTCTCTAGAATCTGAAGCCCCGCCCCCTACACTATAAACTAGACGCTGAAGCCGCGGCTGAAATCGGTCACTTGTCCACAGAGTTAGTATTTTCTGTACAGTGAATGGCACGTAGTGCACTATATAGGGGACAGGGAACGATTCAAACGTAAATATGCTTTCCAGTCGGCGCAGACCACAAAATGTATCGGAGCTATTTGAATTCTACACAGAATGCTATATTTTATAGCAATATGGATGAGATTGTGGCTGGCATACCCTGTCAAATGCGGCTTTACGGAGCTCAACGGCTCCGCAAGGGCCTAGCCCAAGCTATGATATAGACGAACGCTATTGGCTATTTTAAAAAGGGGCGGGGCTGCTTGATATATCCCGCCCTGTCTTCCTGTTTCAGTTAAAATGATGTCAACACATAAAGTAACGCTGCGTGTTTCTAAGCATTTCAGGGGACCTTTATTTATTTTTTTATTTGGCAATTATGTTTCCTGAAAACCGAACCATGCCAGTGCTGCGCTGCCTTTAAAGTTTAAAATATTTTAATGTTATCTTTGATTTTATCCTCAGTAGCAAAAGTGCAAACAGATTTTGGAAGTTCATTTTTAATTCAGCGAATCGTTTAAAAATTCAAGTATCATCACTCAAAATGTTCCCATGTGGCATTTCTCATGCTTTAAAATGTTTTAGTAAAAATATACACTATGTACACTGCCAGTCAAAAGTTTGGAATAATTGTGATATTTTTGTGTGTTTGAAATAAGTCTCTTACCAAGGCTGCACTTTTTTTGAATAAAAATACAGTAAAAACTGTAATATTTGGAATATTATTACAATTTAAAATAACTGTTTTTTTTGTTTAGTTTTTTAAATTAATTTATGAATTTTCAGCATCATTACTTCAGTCTTCAGTGTCACATGATCTTCAGAAATCATAGGCATATGCTGATTTGATGCTTATAGGAACACTCCACTATTTTTGAAAATAGGCTCATTTTCCAGCTCCCCTAGAGTTAAACAGTTGAGTTTTACCGTTTTCGAATCCATTCAGCAGATCTCCGGGTCTGGCGGTAGCACTTTTAGCTTAGCTTAGCATAGATCATTGAATCTGATTAGACCGTTAGCATCTCGCTCAAAAATGACCAAAGAGTTTCTGTATTTTTCCTATTTAAAACTTGACTCTTCTGTAGTTACATCGTGTACTAAGACCGACAGAAAATGAAAAGTTGTGATTTTCTAGGCCGATATGGCTAGGAACTATACTCTCATTCCGGCGTAATAATCAAGGAACTTTGCTGCCGCACCATAGGTGCAGCAGGCGCAATGATATTACGCAGGAAAAATATAGATTTTCTTGGGTCATTTTTGAGCAAGATGCTAACGGTCTAATCAGATTCAATGATCTATGCTAAGCTAAGCTAAAAGTGCTACCGCCAGACCCGGAGATCTGCTGAATGGATTCGAAAACGGTAAAACTCAACTGTTTAACTCTAGGGGAGCTGGAAAATGAGCCTATTTTCAAAACTAGTGGAGTGTTCCTTTAAGAAATGTGTATTATCAATGTTGAAAATGGTGAGCATAAGAGACTTCTTTCAGAAATATCTTAATTATTCCAGACTTCTGACCTGCAGTAGTGTATGTAAATATTGCCATTTATAACTATGGCGTATATAAATAAAAATGATTAAATGTAATTATTTCACTTGTTAATTTATAGAAAAACAGTGTGGATGTCTTAATTAGTTTTAATTACGTTTACTCTATTTTACTTCTTGATTTAAAAATGTTAATATTTTCGACAACAGTGGCTGTTTGTTTGAAATTATTGTTTAAAACAATTTCAGAGAATATAAATAAATATCAGGATTTATATTTAAATTCATCAAAGCCTTACATTTTAGCTACAGTATATCACCCAGCTTATATAACCTTCTGATATAGCTCGGAGTTGTTATTTACAGACATACACCTGCTATCATTAAAATGCTCTTCCCTGTTTTCTTGTAGAGATGTCCCTAGAATACCAGAGAGCACACATGGACAACTTGAATCAAGTAAGTTTAGCTAGTTTTGATCTATAAAACGTATCAATACTTTAGCACTGCATTTGCCAGCAGGAGGATCAATTTAAGTGTTCTTTGCCGATTTTTCAGGTTCAAGTTCCTTTGAATCCCAAAAGATGGGCCCGTCCATCTCTGTCACGTCCCCCATGAGTCCGGGCATGCTCCGGGACAACCCTCAGTATCTGTCCGGACAGCTCTCAGTGAGTCCCAGCATCTGTCTGCACATGTGCCTGATCTCTGGACTTCTTCTGCTTTTCTTTGGCCGCTCGTCTCAGGGCTTCACTGATGAAATGCCGCGCTAGCTTTGAGGTTTAGCAATTATTTCACATGTCTTCATGGAGTTTGCCAGTGTTCATTGTTCATTTACACAGAACGTATCATGGCTCATATCAAAAGGCCAAGTGGTTCTAGGAGATACGATGACATAAGAACTTAAAAGAGCGTGTGCAGAGTTGACAAATGGACACGGACTACTTTTTTAACATTAAGAATCTAAGTTATAATTTACACTACTGTTCAATAGTTTGGGGTCAGTAAGATTGTTTTTATTTTTTTAAAGAAATGTATACTTTTTTGAGAAAGCATGCATTAAATTGATCAAACGTGACAGTAAAAAAAAAAGAAATTTCTAATGCTACAAAAGATTTCTGTTTCAAATAAATGCTATAAGCAGCACAGCTGTTTTTAACATTGATAATTATAAGAAATGTTTCTTGAGCTGTAAATCAGCATATTATGATTTCTGAAGGATCATGTGACACTGAAGACTGGAGTAATGATGCTGAAAATACAGCTTTGATCACAGAAACATCTTAACATACAGTATATTCACATAGAAAACACTTATTTTAAATTGTAATAATTTTTTGATCAAACATTTGCAGCCTTGGTGAGCAGAAGAGACTAAAAATCTTACTGACACCAAACTTTTGAACAGTGTATTTAGAAGCAGACAGAGTACGTTTACACATACATATTTTTTTATTTCACTGGTAAATATTAATGGTCTTCCAGTGTGACAAATTCTATATACAGATATTTCACATGGTCATTGCAGGCACAATAATTATAACATTTCCACATAAATATTGCACATTTGATTAATTATAAGAGTTAAATCTCTCCCTCTTCCTAATTTACAATCATAAAAATGCCTTATTTACTTGCTGTTGGTGTCCAAATTAACAAAATATTTGAGAATTCGCTAAAGATTGCACAATTAGAAATAGATATCGTGAGTCACTCCACAGGACTCAGTATTAACAATATTTTATTTGTATAATATTACTAGCACAATATGTAAATTAATGATCAGCTTTTTTTTTTTGAAAATGCACAGGTTGTGCTGGTGTATTAGAATTGTATTTCTATTTACCCCGTTCATTTTTATACTTGATTTTGACAGGTTTAGTGGAATGATAAATGCTACAAGCGTTAGAATGTAATTTGAACAGATAATGCTATTTTAAAATGTGTTCTGAAGTTAAGATGAGCAAAATCTAAGATATTTAAAAATATAGAATAATACAATATAATAAAATATTAAATAACGGACAGTAAAATGAACGTCACATCATAAACTCATAAACCTCATGACGTCTTGCATTTGCTAGTCAGGTGTGTTTTCTAGACCGTGTCCGTCAGACCAGCTTGGATCCTGGAAAGAATCCCGACGGAAAAAGTATTCTTAGTTTTCAAGCTTGTTACCTGACTGACGTAGACTCTGCAGGTCAGCTCTGACACAGCGCTGCAGATCAGGATGTTAGGTAAACGCACTTCCTCGAAAGACTAGCTATTGTACTTTCTGCTCAAGTTGTTGCGTTTACTTGAACCATCAGCCTCTATCTTAACTGCAGTTGGAAACGTAGCGTATAAATAATTCACACCGTTTGCGTTATCAATGTCTCTAACTGTACGCCTGAGACGTCTGCGAGGTAAGTTTGACCCAGGTGTTCGTAGAGTGCAGTAAAGTGCTTCAGGCGTGGAAACAGATTAGCCGTTATTGTGCCTTTTAATTGTTTAATAGGGAAACGAGCTGTAGCCACGACTGTAAACATGCTAAATGTGGAGAGATTGCTAAAAAAGGAAATGCTGATTAATAATAATAATAATAATGTATGTGCTTTTTCTGTTTTTGCGCTGAAGTGTATCTGTTCTTCTGTCCGGGCGATGCTTTAGTGTCTCACTATGGTGTGCGCTGTCGTAAATTTGTTTTCTTTTTGTTTGGAATGAGGGAGATTTATCCTAAAATATTGAAGTCAGAATACTTCTCTCTCACACACACACACACACACATACACACACTCACACTCACACACACTCACACACACACACAGCACACACTCTCACAGACACACACACACACACTCTCTCGCTCTCGCTCTCTCTTTCACACCCACCCACACACACACACACACACACACACACACACTCTCTCTTTCTCACACACACACACACTCTCTCTCTCTCTTTCTCACACACACACACACTCTCTCTCTCTCTTTCTCACACACACACACACTCTCTCTCTCTCTTTCTCACACACACACACACTCTCTCTCTCTCTTTCTCACACACACACACACTCTCTCTCTCTC